ATATATAATTTCACAAAAATTCAACAAAAATTGAATCAAACTGCAATAAAAAGAGATTATTTTGGGTAAAGAGTTGATGTATCCAGTATCAGGTGGGCTGAGCATGTCAGTCATCTACTGTGGCCTTAAGATCAAAGCCTTACTTACCTAGCAAATAACAAACATTGTTACAAACTGTATGATCTTGAAGGACCCTGTTCACCTTTATTAAACCAAAGTTTCTTCATCTATAAAACAAGGCTGTTTGCTTAGAAATCTTTCTAATATTCCTCTAGACCTTGAATGTCAACTGTTATTTTACTCTTGTTCTTATGTGAAGATGGTGTACCTACATATAGGAAAGAATTTTTTCATTTTAAAAATTACTTCATATTTATTTATTTTCTTTATTGCTCATCTTCTCCATTGGATAATCAAATTGAAATTATAAGCAATCCTTCTTTCAAGTAAATATGTTCCTGAAGTGTTAGTACAAATAAAATATTTTTTGAAAACCAACTTTTTTTGCCCCATACTCTACCTAACTTTGTAGTAGCTCTTCAATTGTCAGTGACCCATGATGATTTACTTTTGCTTCCTACTACTTCTGATCAAGAGTTTCTCTGGGTAAATCAGTTCTTACGTAGAGTTGGTAACTTTAGCACATAAAACGAGAGTCTAGTGGTGACTCTGGAGCTCAGTGACAAGGCCAGGACTGGAAAACTAGCAGCAACATGAGTCCCATGACCTCGGATCCCCACGTCAAATCCCTTCCCTGTCTGATCTCTGCTCAGTTGTCCCCTTCTCAGGGTGATCAGACTTACAGGGTAGTTCTTCTCAGTCTTGTCCTTCTTAGCCCCCACCATTGTTTTTCCAGTTGGCTGGTTGGTTTTGCTATCTTGCTGAAATGGACATCCTCGGAGTGTGGTGTGCACTCCTGCCTTGTCCTCTGCTCTCCTTCTTGTTCCTCATTTCCCAGAACAGTGCTGGGTACACAGTAGGCGTCAAATGTGATTTGTTTAATAATAAAAATGTAAAGATAATTCTTGTGGGGTTGGAGAAATGGCTCAATGGTTAAGAACACTGGCTGATCTTGTAAAGGACCTGGGTTCAATTCCCAGCACCCACATGGTGGGTAACAACCATTTGTAACTCCAGTTCTAGGGAATCCAACACCCTCTTCTGACCTTTGCCAGCATTGTAAGACACGGGTGCACTTACATACATACAGGCATAACACTCATAAATAAAATCTTAAAAAGATAATTCTTGGGGCTGGAGAGATGGCTCAGCGGTTAAGAACACTGGCTGTTCTTGTAGAAGACCCGGGTTCGAATCCCAGTACCCACATGGCAGCTAACAACTGTCTGTAACACCAGTTCCAAGGGATCCAACAGCCCCTTCTGCCCACCATGGGCACTGCACAACACAAGTGCACTTACCTACATGCAGGCAATACATGCATGCACATAAAATAAAAATGAAATAAAAAGGATAATTCTTGGTCTGTCACTTCTTCTAATGAGCATGTATGTCAGGAATGCTGGTCATTGTTGCAGCCAACACCGTCTTTTGGGTTTTAATGCAGAATTCAGGTTCTCTGCACTAAACTGGATGTTTATACTTGTCAGTAGTGCTAACCTCTCACCTGAAAAATGTTGGAGGAGAGTAGATGGAAAGTCCTCTGTCTGGGGACTATGACTCACCTTTCCATGCTTCCTATGGTTTCAGCCTGCCCCCCTGCCCACTGGGGCCCGAATTGTATCCACACCTGCAACTGCCACAATGGAGCCTTCTGCAGTGCCTATGATGGGGAATGTAAATGTACTCCAGGCTGGACAGGGCTCTACTGCACGCAGAGTAAGTTCACCAAGGGGAGCCACACCCATGGAGGAAATATCGCCCCCCATTTGCATGTACTTTTGAGATCAGCAAGGGCTCCTGGCAGGACATATGTCACCTTGTCTCATACTCAATGACCGCTAGACATCTGCATTTATCTCAGTGGTTAAGAACTCCCACATGCAAGTGATCTCTGTGAGTTTGAGGCTGGCCTGGTCTACATAGTGAGTTCCACCCAGGGACACATAGGGGAGGGAGGGAGGGTAGGGAGGGAGAGAGAGAGAGAGAGAGAGAGAGAGAGAGAGAGAGAGAGAGAGAACATTCCAGGGATTCTGTGTGTGTCTTATATCAGGACATTGAGGTAGAGTGGCACTGTGTGCACTAATAATGTGATTGATTTCTCTCTTCACAAGTCTGTATTTCTATGGATCAAATTGTCTAATTTATTCTGATCACACAAACAGGATAAGTAATGGGGGTTAGAAAGACAGTGGAAACAGTGCACCTCCCTGCCTTACTCACTGAGTGCTCTCAGAGAGAATAAGTCACCTAGAGCAATCTCAACTCCAAGTGCCAAGCCCATCCCTGAGGTGTCTGACTCAGTGTGTCTGGACTGGGACCTGGGCATCTGCATTTCTCTGCATTCCATCCAGGGCCATGTTTTTTAAACCACCACTCTAGTTCTTTCTTCTATTCTGTATCCCACAGTGCTCTGGTGTCTTTCAGTAGCTGTGTTAAACACCTTGACTAAAAGCAATGTGGGAGAGGAAAGTGTTTATTTGGCATACTGGTTACAGTTCATTGAGGGAAGCCAGAGCAGGAACTCAAGGCAGGAACTCTGAGACAGGAACTGCAGCAGAGACTACAGATAAACACTGCTTACTGGCTGGTTTCCCTGGCTTGGTCAGCTACCTTTCTTACACAGCCCAGGCCCACCTGCCTAGGGATGACACTGCCCACAGTGGGCTGGACATCCCACATCAATTTGGAATCAAGGAAATGCCTCACAGATATGCCCACAGGCCAGTCTGATGGAAGAATTTCTCACTTGAGATCCCCTCTTCCCAGGTATCTCTGGTTTGTGTCTTGCTGACAAAAAACTAGCCCACAAACTGTCCTTAATTTTTTTCCATGAGGCTTTTGGTATCATAAGATATAACGTGCAAGGATTCCCCAGATGAATGCCATTGGGTGGGTGGGGGATGCCCTATGGCTTTCAATTGAATAAAGGAGACAAGAAAGAAAAACATATATATGTATAAAACATTTTATATATAATATATAATTATATATATAAAGTTATAGATAATATAACTTTGAAATACAGCAATGAGCTGAGAAGAGAAGTAAGTTAGAAACTAAGCAATTCTTGTTTAATACAAATTTGTAAGTATAATGAGAGAATAGTTGGAAAAAGACTTAGAAATTTCTAGAAGGATGGATAACTATTCATCCAAGATTTGAAAGGGAGACTTGACAAGGAAAAAAATATGCAAGGTCATCTCTAAAGATTGTGCATCTGAAAGATCTTGAACTCCTTAGAGAAAATACTTTGATTATTGGAAATTCTAAAAGTAGGGTCTACTTTGAACAAAGGACCTTTTTAAGTCCCACAGTGTGGCACAGGGGTGACTTCATGGGTCTGGTCTCAGCATAGGCTTGTCATCCTTCCATTTGCCAGCTATGTGATGCTCGGGGCCTCGTTTCTATACACAGCTTAGAAACACCAATGCATGTATTTATAGGCCATTAAAAATCAAATGATGGAATGAACGAAAAGGAACTGGTGGAGAGTAGGTGTTAAATAAACCCGACATGGTGGGATGTCAGTGCGTGCTGACATCTGTGATCTGTGTGTCAATGTGTGCTAGCGTCTGTGGTCTGTGTGCTGCCCCTGCTTCTGGAAATCTGGGCTTTCCTAAAATGAGCAAATAAAAGGCATGTATAACATTGGAAACAACTAATGAATGCACTTGTTATTGAAGCTTTCACTGTGCCTGAAGCAGTCTTGAGAGCAGCTGCTGACCACATACGCCAGTAGAGCTTATGTGTGGTCTTCTGGCCCAAGGTCTTGGCAGTCTAAGAAGTTGTGCAGCAGTGTGAAGACTTGAAATGTTTTTCAAAGCACCTCTGAAGCACTTTTTTTTTTTTGTCTTTTTGTTTGAGGCAGGGTCTCCCTGTAGCCCCAGCTGTCCTGGAACTCACTGTGTAGACCAGGCTGGCCTTGAACTCACAGAGACCTGCCTGCCTCTGCCTCCCAAGTGCTGGGATTAAAGGAGTGCACCACCATGCCCAGTTGTTGTTTTTTAAAAAGATTTTATTCATTATTTTTATTTTATGTGTATGCATGTATTGCCTACATGTAGGCAAGGCCGCCGGTGTCATGCAATGACCACAGAGGACAGAAGATGCTGTTGGAGTTACAGACAGTTGTTAGCTGCCATGTGGGTGCTGGGATTCGAACCCGGGTCTTCGCAAGAACAACCAGTGTTCTTAACTGCTGAGCCATCTCTCCAGCCCAGCATGGTTGTTTTTAAGTTAAGCATTCTACATATGTGAAAGTGATCGTGCCATTTAAGTTAATAACAGACAAAATGGACAAGAATGGTAATAGAATTTGAGTCATTTTTTACTACAAGTAAAAGAATACATATTATTTAAATATAAAGAACTTATTTTAGTCCAGGGAATTCAAGGCCAGGATTCTCATAGCTGAGTGAAGAATGAGAGGGAATACCATATAGGAAGACGCCCGTGATGGTTGCACTGACAGGTATGGAACTCTTCTTCCTCCTGTTGTAGATTACAGTCTCCTTGCAAGAGCCCAGACTTGAGACTCCTAAGCATCCCTGTGAGGAGTGGAGATGTGTGCAGATGCCTTTATTCTCAAATAGCACTCACAGTCCTTCAAGTTCAAACACAAGTGTGTGGGAAGCAGGAGCTGTGTTTTCCATAAGCACCCTTCTAACGTCCGCTGTCCTTCCTTCTTGCACAGGATGTCCTCTGGGGTTTTACGGCAAGGACTGTACACTGATATGCCAGTGTCAAAATGGGGCTGACTGTGACCACATCTCTGGGCAGTGTACCTGCCGCACAGGATTCATGGGGAGGCACTGTGAGCAGAGTGAGTACAAAAGCGCAGCGTCACCTGGCATCTAGATCAACTTTCCTAAATGCCCAGAAATAGTAAGGCAAGATTATTGAAGCTTTTGAGTTGTTTGAATGGATGGTTAGTCACCAGCACAGTTGATTTTCCCTCTTAGGACCTACCCCCTAGAATCCTTCTGAGTAACTACAGCACTCTGGGGTGGGGGTGGGGTGTAGACCCTAAGAATGGAGACAGAATTCAAGTTTTCCATTATGTTCTTCCTGGCTTTCTCTCCCTCTCTTCTTTTTGGAACATGGTTTCTCAGAGGCTTAACAGAGGCCGTCGAACTTTCCTCACCTCGGGTGCACCCGGACTTACATCAGAGAACAGGGCATTGGTTGGGGAGAAGTACCCATCCCCAGTAACCGCTGTAGGAACCAGTCCAGAAAAATGTTTCTACCCTTTTGACAATTTTTTTTTTTACTCTTTCCACTAACAATGTCTCCTCTTAGTCTTAACCTTCAAGACACTGTGATTTTAGTTTTGCATTGCTGTTCTATTTGATCATAAAAAAAGGGCTTACTGAGTCACATAGTTGCATGCTCAGCACCCTCTGTATGTATAAATGCCCATGCATAGATGTCTAAACATAGGCAGGGAAATCAGAGTGGGCTCTAAACTGACTTGCAGTCAAATGCCAGACAACTGGTTAAAGCCTTATTAAGAAAACTCTCTTAAGTGCTTCCATAATTACTCTGAACATTGAATTAAAGTGTCCACGTTTTTGAAGACTTCACCCAATGCTCCTTGTAAACAGAAAATCTGTTTCTCAGAAAACACCGATAACAGCACATTGCCCCCTGCTGTTCACTTTACACACCACACCAGTATTTTGTCATGAAGATTTTCAGATTTTCCATCCCTACCCACAGTTCTTCTTCTGGCACATTGTAAGAATCCTATTGCTGTAGTCCCTGAGACTTCAACCTGAAAAACAAGCATTTGAATCATTCTATAGCAAATGAAGCTCTTACCTAGAAAATTGCCCAAACCCCTTCCAATCCCAGCTAATCCAGATGTGAATGTGTGTTTAAGAGGATCCCAAGACTATAGTAAAATATGTATGCTCTCAGAAAGTATCTCCAGTTTACACTTTTCAGTCTAGTTCCCTTGTGATCCAGACTGCTGGAGTTATATCAAATCGTTCTTCATGATTCTTTTCATCTGCTCCATGTGAGTCCCACAAACCCTCCACACATTCTTCAGGAAAGTGGGGATTCAGCAGGCAAAGGTATCCGGAGCCGGGCTGTAATGTTGAACAGCTCAGTCTTGGGCAGCCTGGACTGAAAGGTCAGCCATGGCTAAGGGAATGCTGTCTGCTGTCTAGTTTCTACACCTTGGGTGGTACAGCCTGTCGAAGCAGGACTGCACAGAAGGCTCACCTCCTGAGGTATGGAGCACAAAGCAGGGGACAGCCTTGATCTGGATCCCCAAGAATGTGTAAATACACCCACTTCATTTTCTCCTCAGAATGCCCTGCAGGAACATACGGCTATGGTTGTCGCCAGATATGTGACTGTCTGAACAACTCCACCTGTGACCATATTACTGGGACCTGTTACTGCAGCCCAGGATGGAAGGGGGCACGATGTGATCAAGGTAGAGTACTAGTAAATAATAACTATTGCCTCTTAGCACGCGGCTACTGTGTACACCTAGTGTTAAATACTTTCTCTTATGTTACCTTGGGTAGTCCTCATTAAAACGTGCGTGGTGTAACTAGTTATTTATTTAGTTTGCAGATAGAATGTTTTATTTTGCTATCATTCATGTCTGTACCGAAAGGTTACAGAAGTTGAGCAATTTCCCCAAGCTTACATAGCCAGTATTCAGAATACGGGTTTGATGCTAGGTTTTTCTTACTCCAAAATTCATTAACTTTCTATTGGCCTATGATTTTTTTCCAGCTTTGTTGAGGTACAGTTAACATATAATGTCACATACATTTAAAGTATATGATCTGACAAACTCTGAAACACATATGTACTCCTAAAGCTGTCACCACAATAGAGCTAATACCTGTCACCCTCTCTGCTTCCTCACACCCTTTCTGCCATCTTTCCATTGGATTGCAGGCAACCACTCATTTATCTGTCACTATTAGCATTTTCTAGAATTTCATATGAAAGAAATTAGTATACTCATGTGTGGTTTTCTTTAGTTAGCACAAATGTTTTGAAATTAAACATGGATTTTTTTGTTGTTTTTGTCTTTTTGAGACAGGGTCTCCCTGTAGCCCCAGCTGTCCTGGAACTCACTTATGTAGACCAGGCTAGCCTCAAACTCACAAAGATCCGCCAGCCTCTGCCTCCCGAGTGCTGGGATTAAAGGTGTGTGCCACCATGCCGGCTTAAACATGTTTTAAAACATATCAATAATTTAGTTCTTTTGTTGCTGAGTAGTGTTCATTGAATGGATATACCATAGTATGTAGACATTTGGGCTGTTTCCAGCTTTCAGCTAAAGCTGCTGTGAACAACAGACTTTGCATAGCGTGTGTTTTCATTTATTTGAGGTTAGCACTCAGGAATGGAATGACTGAGTTGTAGAGCAGGCACATATTTAACTTTTTAAGAAATTTGTGCCTGTGTTGTTTTAACTAGGGTATATAACATAGCCATCTGGCAGTATTTGTCAAATAGTCTCACTGGGGCTCTTGGACAGCTCTGACTGTGGGCTGGAGAATTCTTTGGGAACGTGTTTCTGCTGGTTCTGACTTCCAAAGAGCCTCCCCCATCCCCGCCCCTGCAGTCTTCCGTGGTGTTGAGCAGAGATGCTGTGAGCCTTCAGAAATGCATGCAGCATTTTAGGTGCGCTAAATGCAGTGCTCAATTCCTCTCACAAAATAACTTTTGCATGCTTATGATTTACACTTGATTATAACCACAGCTAGATGTTACATTTCACCCTGTCACTATTACAAGCACGTCCTAACCTCACTTCGGTAGCCGCAGTATTCTGGATTTGGGGGCAGGAGGATCATTTATTTTTGTTTTGTTTTGTCCTTGTTGTTGTTTGATGCAGGGTCTCACTATGTAGCCTAAGCCAGCCCCCCGCCTGGACATTCCTGCTTCAGGCTCCTGAGTCTTGGAATTACAGGTGTGTGCCATCACACCTGGCTCCTTGGACTGTTTTATAAGAAAGTCCCCTAACTTTAAGAATCATAAACTCACGGGAGCTTTTATTCGAGCTGAAAGCAACTCCTAATGATGAAACCAGCTTGGGAGCTGAAAGGAAGCTCAGAGTATGTGGGTTGCATTTCTGATGCTGTTTCTTGACCCACTTTGGACCGTTAGCCTTCCCACTTGATATAGACAAGAAAGAACTACGTAGGACTGAATTTTGAGCTTAATGAACACAGGTATAAGCGATGATACCAGGTAATATCAAGAGAAATCTTCCTGTCATTGAAAGTAGTTTTTTCTAGAACTACTGAGGTAAAAGGTGCATTGAACTAGATTAAGATTGTAGTCGTGCTTGTTTGGAAGGCAAATTACTCTTAGAAATCTTAAAGATAAATGAAAGATTGAGTTAGATAGTTGAGCATTTAGGATTTATCCCTGTATAAGCTCACTACTAGATAATATATAAAACAAAACAAAAATTAGGCAGATTATTATCCAAAATTAATTGCCGGTCTAAGTGTTTAATTTAGAAGACAGGGGGCTCCCAATCTTGCTCCTAAATCTCAGGGTTCAAACCCCCTCTCTTGGAGGTTTAGAGCAACCTTTCTCTGGGAGCTAGCAACCATCAACATCTAAAAATAAAGAATGTTTAGCATTTGAAAATATTTGCTTTTCCAAATTAATATTTCATGAACTGAAAATACCGAGGCATTAGCACAGTGGGAGGGTTTTTAAAAAATAGACATCAAACACTTATCTGGCACACGGTCATCCACACTTACCTGTCTCCACCTTTCCCCAGCTGGTGTTATAATCGTTGGCAATCTGAACAGCTTAAGCCGAACCAGCACAGCTCTTCCCGCTGATTCCTACCAGATCGGAGCCATCGCGGGCATCATCATCCTTGTCCTCGTTGTGCTCTTCCTGCTGGCGCTGTTCATTATTTATAGACACAAGCAGAAGGGGAAGGAGTCGAGCATGCCGGCTGTGACCTACACCCCAGCCATGAGGGTCATCAATGCGGATTACACCATTGCAGGTAGGGGCACTCCCTTCCTCAGAAGGGGAGGCCTCGCCTGCTGCTTGGGAACTGGGTGTTTGGCTGTGTGTCCATTGTTTCTGTCGGTTGTCCCTGAGGTGACGTCCATGTTCAGAAAAGGAATGCATGGCTTGAGACATGGTTTCCATCTCAGTAGTAGTAGTAAAATTTTCACTGTCCTTTTCCTATGAGGACTTTTAAAAGATTTATTATTTATTTGTTTCTTTTTATTTATTTATTTATATTTGTGTGTGTGTATGTCTGTCTTTTGGACACGCACATGTCTGTGGGTGTCCATGGAGACCAGAAGTGGGTGTCAGATCCCCTGGAGCTGAAGTGTCAGGGGGTTGTAAGCCAGCCAACGTGGGTGCTAGAACCAGACTTGCATCATTTGAGAAAGTAGCAAGCATCTTTCACTGCTGAGTCATCGCTCTAGGTCCTCTTTGAGGATTTTTAAATTGGGCTCATTGAAGGGTTGCTTTCTATTTAAGCAATTTCATTCCAGGAGAGGCTCGTCTGGACAGCCAGTTCCAAATTCTTATGTGAGTAAGAGGAGACAAAGGGAATTGCAAAGCCATAGAGCACATTCAAACAGGAGCCAGGCCCTCTGCCTCTAGCCTGTGTGCTTCCACAGCACCCGCCTCCCTGTGCCCACACTAGTCATTAACTGAAGAGACTGTTATATAGCAGTCAATTCTGGATATTAGCAAGAACCCAGGCAGTCTGCTAAGAAACTTCTTTTTGAATCTTCCTTCTGGCACAAGTCCCCATTAAAGAAAAACACTTTAAAAATGACACATTCAGGCCGGGTATGGCAGTGCACACCTTTCATCCAGCACTTGGGAAGTAAAGGCAGGCAGAGCTCTGTGAGTTCAAGGCCAGCCTGGTCTACATAGTGAGTTTCAGGCCAGCTAGGGCTACATGGAGACCCTGTTTAAAAAAAAAAAAAAATGACACATTCCGCCATCAAAAATAGTGACCTCTCTAACCGAGGTATCTGAAAATGGAAAATCTTACTCAGACTTGAGCAATGACAAAAGGGTTTCAGGCTGGCTACATGCTTAACAAATATTATGATCCTGGGAGAATATGTAAAGTGGACAGTTTACATGGGAGTGTATTTCCAGGTCAAGAAATCAAGTGTCTTAAAGAAGAGGACAATTCTAGCTGATGTAGTTTCAGATGAGGCCTGTTCTGACTCTCCCACTCCCTAGAACTATGAGAGGCTGTCTGGATGCATTCACACATTGGGGGGAGGCAATGACTGGTGCCTACTGCTCCTCGGTCCTCTGCTGAGTAGGTTGGGCAGGAGAGGGAAACAGTTGTACTGTTATTTTGATTTAGGAGTGCCTGCCATCTTAACCATTCTCTTCTTGTAGAAACCCTGCCCCACAGTAATGGTGGAAATGGCAATAGTCACTACTTCACCAATCCCAGCTACCATACACTTACCCAGTGTGCCACATCCTCTCATGTCAACAACAGGGACAGGATGACCATTGCCAAGGTGAGAGAAAGGAGCTCCAGATTGGGAAAGTGGGCAGGGCAGGGGAACGAGGCGGGGAACACGCGTTTAAGGGGGGCTGCTGTGTGCCGATGTTGCTCTAGGTAGTTTGTGTGTATTTCTCACTTGATCCCTCCTGACAGTCCTCTGGGTATCTCTAAGCATCTCAGGAGTACTTACCAAAAGCTGAGTGACCGGGAGTTCCAGTCTCTTCCACAGGCTGCCCAGCTAGTAGGAAGACGGCTGCTTTTTGAAGCAAAGTCTCCCTGGCTCTACAGTCTGTACTGTTTCCATTACATCCTTGGAAAATGTTCCTAATTTTACATGAGATTTTGGATATTGTTGTTTTATTTTATTTTATTTATTTTTGGCAGGGTCCCCCTAGTCCCAGCCTGCCTGGAAGTCACTATGTGGACAAGGCTGGCCTCAATCTCACAAAGATCTGCCTGCCTCTATCTCCTGAGGGCACACTGCCATGTCTGTTCACTCAGCATGGGAGGTTTTTTGTTTTTCGGTTAGTTTGGTTTTTGTTGTTGTTGTTGTTGTTTTGTTGTTTTTTGTTTCTGTTTTAATTTTTTGAGATAGAGTCTCACTATGTAGCTCTGGCTAGCCTGGAACTCCCTATGTAGAGCAGGCTGGCCTCGAACACATGGATATCTGCTTCCCTCTGCCTTTGGAATGCTTCGATTAAAGATTTGCATCATCATGCCTGCCTATTTATATGAGATTTTAAAACCATGCCTCATGATGATATTAATAAAAACATATAGACCTAAAGTGAAATCACCAAGTTTATCTTTTCAGACCATCTATACTCCTAGGCCCTCTCCGTGATGCTCTGAGCTCCAACTCACCTTCCAACTGTACCCAAATTCTGTCCCCAAGCTGCCTTACTGCTGTCCAGCTCTCTATTAGGAAGCCAAGAAACAAAACAAGCAAGTTAATTAACCCACGGTCATTAAATCAGCACAGCCAGCTTTTAATGGTGGCGCTTCCTAGTCAAGCAGCTCTTCACAATTTCCAGAGATTCCTGTTCATCATCTACCTCTTCTCATACTGATAGCCCTGTGTTTGTGTATAAGGGCCAAGGCACCATTCACAGTATCGTGGAGATTTTGATGAAAGAACTTAGACCCATAGTTAATTCTTTTCTTTAATTTAAAATTCCACATTTATAAACCCAAATAAGGTCTAATTGACCCAGGGTAAAATGAAGGCCTTCAGGTGTGGAGGGAGGCGCTAGGCCAAGGGACACACGCTCTGCTCCAGGCATGGCTCACCTTGCCTCTTCCTCAGCCTCCCTTGAGGGCCAGTTCTTCCAATGTACCATGAACTTGATTTCCCCTCTGTGTTGTCTTCTAAAATCTTTTACCATTCATGTTTTTCACAGTCAAAAAACAACCAGTTGTTTGTGAACCTTAAAAATGTGAATCCAGGGAAAAGAGGCGCTGTGGTGGACTGCACTGGGACACTGCCGGCTGACTGGAAGCACGGCGGCTACCTCAATGAGCTTGGTGAGGCCCTTGAGCTGAGCATCTTTGGCACCCTACATTGTCACTACACTGTGTGTGCACTGTAGCTATCCACTGGAAACACACCAAAACCCAAATTTATACCTAACTCCTCTCTAGGGTTTAGTACCAGTCTAAATGCCTTATTTATTCAGCAAACATTCATTGAGTTATTACTACGTACTGTGATTGATGGACAAGGATCACTGCCTGTGGTAGCAGCATACACATTAACTTAATTCTCACACTCTGATAGGCAGGCATCCCCGTGGGACAGTTGAGAAATAGAATCACAAAGAACTGGAGTAACTTGCACAAGGCCTGGTAACCTGCTTTGAATTTGGACCCCATCAACTTGTGCCATGATGTGGGTTCCTCTTTGTTAACTTTTAATATCAGGCATGATGTGCAATATTTATCCCCGTTTCAGGAGAGGACACAGTCATCAGATTAACAGTCCTCAAGCTTTTGGAATCAGGATCAATTATATCCTTAAAAATTATTGAAGACCCAATGTTGGTGTGGACTGAGTCTCTTGATATTTATCATATTACAAGTTAAAAACTAAGAGCACCTTAAAAAGAGTTATTTTAACTAATTTGAATAAAAACCCAGTTTTATAGTGTTAAATGTGTTTTTATGAAATATAACTACATTTTCCCTACCATGCAAATTAGTGAGAAGAGCAGTGCTGCTTTACAGTTTTGCAGATTTCTTTACTGTCTGACCTAATAGCAAATACCTAAATTCTTTTATCTGTTTTGCGTTCAGTCGGTTGTGTCTGCATGCTTTGTATAGCTTCTGGAAAACTCTGTTGTACATTTGAAAGAGAATTAGAGTGAAAAGGCAAGTAATATGGTTTTGTTATGAAAATAGTTGTGATTGTGCAGTCTTCCTGAAGACATTGTGGGCACCAACATCTGTGATACATCACTGAGAACATGGGGCAGCTTCCCCTTATTTTCAAGGAGGAGATTAGTGATCCAGTATGGAGCAGGTGTTCAGTGCCTTTCTATTAGTTTCATTCTGTTGCTGTGATAAAACATTCTGATCAAAAGCAACTTAGGGGAGGAAAGGATTTACTTAATCTTATACTTCCAGATCTCAGTCCATCATAGAAGGAAATCAGAGCAGGAACTCAAGGCAGGAACCTGAGGCAGAAACCATAGAGGAGCACTCCATGCGCTCTCCGCGCCCCCCCCCCATGCTCGTGCTTAAATGGTTTTCTTATATACCTCAAGACCACCTACCAAGGACTGGGGCCCCCCACAGTGGACTGGGCCCTTCAGCATCAATTAATAATCAATACAACCAGGCATGGTGGTGTCCACCTTTAACCCCACCACACCCAGCTTTGAACTTAATTTTTATTTGCTAAATCTGGCTTCCCTACTGGGTGAATGCCCCAGTTCTTATTCTAAAGATGCATACACCAGAAAGCACAAAGGTTAACTGTACAAAGTGGGGAAAAGGCAAAGGGAGCACTGAGTCCTGAAGGGGGCCTGTGACTGCTCTCTTCTGCTGTGAACTCTGTGCGTGTGAAATTCCCTGAGGTATAGGAGACAATCTGTATGGGCTCTGGGATGCGTCTTACTGTAGAACTAGAATGTTTCAGTAAAGCAGAGTGTACAAATTCTTTTGTCTGCATCCTATGCCAACATTGTCAGATGGATTTGCACATCTGAACATAGCAAGACTGTGTGTCAGATTCACAACAGAGGTCCAAATTATATACATGGTTTTGGAGTTTTACTATAATAATTTATTATTATACATATAATTTATACCAAATAAATATTCAACTGACATTCAGTTCTAATGAGGAAAACAATTTGAAAACTATCACATCCTTGAAAGCACTGCACCAGGGAGTGAATTCTCAGGTCTAGTCCTGGCTAAGTCCGTTCTGCCATTCAGCTTTGATTCAACTTTACTGATTCATCTCTCCCTGTGCCTTGATTTCCACCTTGAATTCATTAGCCTTTTCCACAGTCCTTTTAAATGATTAGGTAATGTTGAGGTACGTGCGTGCACACGTGTGTGTGTGTGTGTGTGTGTCTGTGTGTGTGTGTGTGTCTGTGTGTGTGTGTGTGTCTGTGTGTGTGTGTGTGTCTGTGTGTGTGTGTGTGTGTACTGTATACTTGGGTTCAGCTTCTGGCATGACTGATGTGGTATAAGCTTTAGAGGCAGAGATTACCTGCCACCTTGTTGGGATATCGGGTGGGTTTTCTTTTACTTCTAGTTCTCATGGGCTGATTTTTCTTCTGCTGTAACAGGTGCTTTTGGGCTTGACAGAAGTTATCTGGGGAAGTCCTTAAAAGGTATGGTGTAAATTCAAGGAAGAAATATGTATAACTGAATCTTGCTTTAAAGAATTATCTTAGAGACTGAAATGACTATGCTAAGACAAAAACGTGTTTGACTCATATGGGTGGATCATGTTTGGGGAGCAAAGGTTTCAGTTGCTGAGGAAATATGTTTCCTTTAAAAGAACTAGTGTATGGGGAGAGAGAAGGGAAATAGGAAATCACTAGGAAAAGAAACCAGCATGTCTGGTGACTGGCCCCGCACTTCAGGAGAGTATGAGCACTTGGTGTCCAGTCCTGAAGTTTAGAGGTTTCATAGCACAAATGACTTTCTCCTTATGATAAACAAACTTTCCTGTGCTCCTGCACCATCGGCTTCTAGTTTCCTGATGAAAAGACTTCAGTTAGTACATTTTGTCTTAGTAAAACAGAGTAATAATTGTGTCTGAATGTGACCATTGAAATGAAATCAGATCCATGCTATTTTCCTTGGCAGTCCCTTAGAAAGAAGCTAAAATTACTTTATAGATGGCCAATTTTATAGCAAATTATCTCAAAAATAAGTGGAAATGTATGACATTATTTTCAGCAAATACAGTTATAGAAATGTACTCATAAAGAAACAGAAGTAACCCACCCAAGGAAATTATCACCAAGAATGATATTGCCCAGGAGACGGCATTTATTCCTTTTCTGCCATTTCTCTTCACAGATCTGGGAAAGAACTCTGAATACAATTCAAGTAATTGCTCCCTCAGCAGTTCTGAAAACCCATATGCCACGATTAAAGACCCCCCTGTACTGCTCCCTAAAAGCTCTGAGTGTGGCTACGTAGAGATGAAGTCACCAGCACGAAGAGATTCCCCATATGCAGAGATCAATAACTCAACTTCAGCTAACAAGAATGTCTATGAAATTGGTGAGTTTTTGAGCCTTATAAAGAACCTAGTGCACAAGATTGTATTTGAACTAGGTCTCAATGACCTGAATTTTATATACAATTAGTGTTTACAGTGATTATACTGATTGATGTGAAAAGAATTTTCCAGGGAAAATATCACCTAGCAAGTTTAAAATAATCTTTTTTTTTTTTTTTTTTGTTTTTTTTTTTTTGAGACAGGGTCTCCCTGTAGCCCTGGCTGGCCTGGATTCACTATGGAGACCAGGCTGTCCTTGAACTCACAGAGATCTGCCTGCCTCTGCCTCCCTAGTGCTGGGATTAAAGGCGTGCGCCACCATGCCTGGCTAAAATAATACTTCTATTGCCCCATGGCCATCTATCTTTTGTTTTATAACCATGGTAGGTGTTCTAACACACAGGGAAAGGCATGTATATCTGATTAGTCAACACAGCGAATATACCAAAACAAACTGTTCAGATGAATTGAACAGGTGGCTCTATTTCCTGGTTGCGCTCATTATATTAACATAATGCTTTTTAGCAGAATTAGAACATTTTATTTTAAATTTGTTTAATATATCAGTTGTATTTGCATATGTGAATCTGATACAAATTAGGAAGATTTAATATAAAATTATGTTTATTTTG